ATACATACGGCAATGCACAAGTGCAGAGCGAGATGGTGCACACATGTATGTTCGGTAACCGCATCCTCATCATGGCCGTGATGCGGTCATGATCGCACATAGACTATCTGGCTTTGATCTCAAATAGCAGCAGCCGTTTTGCTTCTGAAGCTACCGCCTGCTTTGCACATGAATTCCAGGAAACTGCATTTGACCAGACCTGCCTGGACAGCTTATCGTGACTGAATGCAACTGCTAATTGCAATTATGCAAAAGTGATATCTTTCAGTGTGGAACACATGCACCGCAAGGTTGTTGCTGGATTTCCTATCTCTTCCTACGTCACCTTACGCTTGTTGACGCTGCTTTACGCTGTGTGTAATTTCTCGCTCCAGCTAGCCCTGCTGGTTCGGTGCTTGGAATTGCGGCCACTACTGACTAAGTGATTGACACGCCTGTCACTTTCGGTAGTTGCTGCAAAATTGGTAACCATGGTAGGCCATTCTGAACCCGTAACAAAAAATCGATATATGCGATCGCAACTCCATCCAAGTCTCAGGCCCCTGGACCGTCTGAACCCCAAAACTCACCTAAAAGCATGCGTTCCTCAACCCTGTACCCCGAACCCTAGCCAGATAGAAGCGACGCCGGAACACTTGACTTCCTATCGCTACCTCCACGGAGGGCCGGCCCGCGTCTTCCTGCAGCTCCTCGCCATGTGACTTCTTACGTCGCTACGAAGGCGTTTTGGGGTTCAGGTGTATGGGGCCTATCCGGATGCTTCTTCGGGAATAGGCTTCAGGGATTAGGATTCTGGGACTCAGTGTTTAGACTTTAGACTCGCGCAACTCGAACTGCAAGGATTCAGGGTTTTCTTGCTGAGGGCTTAGGGTGATCATGATTTTGCAAGGGCTGGTGCTCCATGGATATCCGCAAGTCTGCGGGACCAGGCTGAACTCATAGCACCATCAGCAAAGAGACATCATGTGACACCTTGTCAACACAATGCTCAGAAAGGACAACAGAAATGCAGACCAACTTGGTGGACGAATACATGGTATCGCAGCATGGCGCATTATATACACCCCTGTACACATCGGTGGCATCTACCGCATCATGGAACCATGTTCAGCAAGTGAGCGGCTCAAAATCCAACAGTGGATGTGAAACACGACAGAGACCAACCAGGCAGCACATATATGTGTGCAGGTGTACCCCTATGCCTCTAGTTGCATGAAGCCTGCAGTTATTTTATTGGCAACTAGTACCTGGACATCGTCGCAAACTTCTGCCTATACCTAGTGGCGCTACTCATGAGTCTGCAACAGCATTTTCAAGATGAGACGAACGATTACATAAGCGAATGAGCACCATGCTGCTTCATAGCCTCATGAAGCGTTCTTACACATACACTGCGTGCTTTTGGGCATGTTTGTGACAAATGCGCACACATGAACAGGCACCTGTACCTCTCTATACGCACAGATTATATATATATATATACATACACACAGTATATATACATACACACATTTAAGTAGGAGCCAATGCCGCAAATCAGAAATTAACCTGTCAATCCCTGCTTAGTTTAGACTACCTGGCCCAGCTCCTTCTTTCCAGAGGCTGCGGACGCCGCAGGCTGAAAGAACCTGATGGCAGCGGCCGAGATGCCAAACAAAACTTCTCACTTGCGTAGAAGGAAGTTTACACTGGCTTAGCATTCCTTGTCCGTGTGCCGAAGCAACGGCGTGATGTTTTCTACCAGCATCTGCATCCAGATCTTGATTCCGACTTGCCCTAGTTGTCGAATACATACACTTGGAGTCGTGACACACAATGTCAGGGAAATCGTAGCAGCAGTTGTTGGCATGCGTCGTAGTAGAAGACCTTTACCTACTTCTACGACAACGACGACGACGATGATGACGACTACTACTGATACCACTGCGACTAGCTGTAGCAGTCGCAGCAGGAGGAGTAGTAACAGTAGTAGTAGTAGTAGTAGTAGTAGGAGTAGGAGTAGGAGTAGTAGTAGTAGTAGTTGTTGTTGTTGTTGTTTTGTTGTTGTAGTCGTAGTAGCAGCAGCAGCAGTCGTCGTCGCAGTCGTGGTCGTACTAGTAGTAGCAGTAGCAGGAGCAGCAGCCGCTGTAGTAGTAGCTGTGGTGGTGGTCGTGGTGGTGGTGGTGGTGATGGTCGTCATCGTGGTCGTGTTGGTTGTGGTGGCAGTAGTAGCGGAAGTAAAGTGGTAGTGGCAGTAGCGGCAGCAGTAGTGGTGGTAGTAGTACTCACAGGTTGAGTAGCAGTAGCAGCAGCAGGAGCAAGCAACAGCTGCAGTAGAAGCAGTAGCAGCAGTGGCAGCAGCAGTGGTAGTAATAGACTAGTACTATTACTAGTGCTACTAGTAGCAGTAGCAGTAGCAGTAGCAGTAGCAGTAGCAGTAGTAGTCGTCGTCGTCGTAGTAGTAATACTTACTAGTAATACTACTATTAGCAGGAGCAGAGGCAGCAGCAAAAGTTGTAGCAAGTAGTACTAGTAGTAGGGTGATGCTAGTCCTAGTAGTAGCAACAGCAGCAGCCAGCACACAAGGCCTAGTAGTTGCTCTTGTTTTATTGGTCGTCCAGGTGCTACGCCGTGGCGGCCAAGACTCTGTACACCAATCGAGCGGTACTATCAGTCAACTATGTCGAGACTGACTCAGAAGTAGCACAGTCTATTCTAAAGGTCTGCAGCTGCTGTTGTCAATATGCAGTCTATCATCGCACCAACAAGTTTTCTCGCATGTTCGGCGCTGTTCCTGCCGATGCCAGCTAGGAAAACAAATTAACGGTTTTGCTTGATGGCTGGACCCCTTCAAAGCTGATAAGAATCCCATCAAGCAGCTGGCGAACGAAGGCATGCTGCATAGCTTGAGCAGCTGTCAGGCGTTTCTGTCAGGGCGTTCAGTGGCAAACGAATGGCAAACTATATGTTTACTTCTGAGTTTAAGATTTGGGAAGCCAGCATCTTTCCCGACAACATGGACAGCAGCAACAGCACCAACTCTTGCAACAACCATAATTCAACCAAGAGCGCATCAACTGGACATAAGCCCGATCTGCAGCCTGAACAGCAAATCTTTCATCACACAAAGCTTCCTGAATAGCACATTGTTGGACAAAAATGCGCTCCACCCTGCAAACTCCAATCGAGTGCGTGCCTTGAGACACCATGCCGCGAGCCCAACTCTCCAGCAGCAGTTAGTAGAGTGGTAGTAGCGGCAAAAGTGGCGATGCGAGCGCCAACGGCGGCAGGAATCACTAGCAGTAGCACTTGCAAAAGTCGAACTGACAGTGGCAGTGGCAGCAGCAGCGATTCACGACATTGTAGTAGGCAGAGGAGTCCTAGCTTCATTTAGCCCTGGTAGTGACAACCTGCCACCATCGGTAATGAGCTGCTTCTCAGCACCCCTGTCTACCAACATTGAGAGATGAGCATCAGCCTTTCGACTGCTCCGTGACTGGATCCCGTCCTCGGGCGCCTTCTTGCACAAGCTCTTGATGCAGTCCTGGATCTCTCTCTCTCTCTCTCTCCTTCCCTCGGGCATATAAGGGGCTGGTCAGGCCCCCTGGCCACATGGGCCCCCACCGTTTGTGATCTCTCTCTCTCTCTCTCTCTCTGCCTCTCTCTCTTCGGCTCTTTCGCTCTCGGGCAGAGTTTGTGGAGTTTATACGGAATGGGACGAGATAGATGCAAGCGAAAGCAAAAGCTGCCTCCGGTACACCCGGAACTCACATAATTCGGGTACGTGAGGCCAGAGCTTCCACCAATGGCAAAGCACGCCCAAGGACGACCGACAACCGTACAATTCCCATCCATTGCCACTAGAATCACTAGAATACGGCTTTCTGCACCTCACGAATAATGTGGTTTAAGGGTTTTGCGCCTCCTTCTTCAGGACTTCAGGGCAATGAGATCTCACGGCGCTTGCTTCGCCTCGCTGTAGGAAACTGGAACCAGCCCGGCAACTGATGTGGCACATGATTGCCCAGTGGCCGTGGCCATCGTAGCCCACTGTGCAAGAAGCGGGAATCATGCGCTGCACTGCAAAGAGTCCGCGCAGCGTGCCCTGGCAAGAGCTGGGTGCCATGAGCTTCTGCTCGAGCCCGAAAAGGATCACCGACACCGGCCCACCGGCTCTGGTCTCCAGCCGTTGCGATGACAGTCAAAGGCGAGAAGCAACCGCAAGGAGTGAGGCCGTGTAAGGTGTGAAGCAGACCCGACTGAAGCGGAAAGCTGCGAAGCTCCTTGCAAACTCCCGAAGTTTCGACCCCAAACCCTAAACCCTAAACCCAAAGCCCCGAAATTATAGACCAGACTGGAAAAAACGCACTTGCGACTCGAGCGGAGGCAGAGCTCCTCCACGGTATGGTCGATGTCCGGCGGAAACTGAAGTTTGATGCTCCTGGTTGTTTTCAAACGTAAGGCGTCAATTTATATAGGGCATCGAAGGCAACTTTTCAAAGGCGCCAGTCTTTCCAGTTTAGCTCTGGTTGTTGTGCTTTCGCAATGCTGCCCCCCCTGCTGGCTACTAAGGCTCTGCTCCGAGACACACCTCTTTCTGCCTTGGTGCAAACACTGTAAATCCCACACACAACGCAAGACTTCAGAGTGTTCTGAAATTGCTCCGCATGCTGCCCCGAAGAATCGCAAAGCCCTCCTGTGACCTACTACCCAAGTGTGCAGGCGCAGCGCATGTTATCCGTACAAACTCACGTAAAGGCTATAGAACGACTGCAAAGACACCGATGGGATCAGCCAGATTTGTAATTCGGAAGCAACGGAAACCTCTTCTCAAACCCAATACCTGGCCGCTCATTCCTGTTGCACCGTGCGTTTGCTCTACCTCTGCTGGTGGATTTAACCTGAAGTTTAACTCTTGATACCAACAAGTAACAAGGCATTCGTTGCTGAAGGCCCCCCCGGCTCAGAACGAGAAGCATCAATCTAGAAGAAGGCTTGAACCAAGTGCTGACATCATCCAGTCAAAACTGGCTGAAACATAATGTCTCAAAGGCCGTATCTGCCGCTGCAAAAAACACACCCTTGCAGTGATCTGAACCGATGCCAAGACACAGAATGTTCTTGCAGGTGTCATTCTGTGAGGTTCCGCCGAAAGGTGATCTCCCAACCACCATTTCATACCTTTGGGACAAAGATGCCGCTTCGTGTAGTTACAGCCCACCCTCCACTCTTGCCGCTCGTCTGCCCGTGCACTCAACACGGCCGGGTGACAACAGCACGCCCATCTCCCACATGTCCAAGCTTTCGTTGTGACCTTCCAAGCGTGACAGGAGCAAACTGTGATGCATCCGGCATGACAGCAGTGACAGTGTATGTCGCGACGATGAGACACATGAGACAGATTTCGGATGGCTTTACTCTCGTTGCGCTTCAACGCCTGCTCAAGTCTCTTAGACGAGCCAGGTAAGCGGGGATTACATATTCAATGCTGAACTTTAGCGTGTGCATTTCCTGCTGCTGGCGTTGGGGGTATTGCAATCCTATCACAAACCGTTGATGCACGCGGTAGTAACGACGACAATGACAACGAGGATGTTGTTGATGATGATGATGATGATGGTGGTAGCCACAAAGATGATGTTGAAGCGGATGTTGATGAAATGATGAAACTGCGATGGTGCAAAACCGATGGCACGATCACGTCGCAATGTCGCAGATGGGTTAGGCAAATATTCGCAAACCGCGAGGAATTAAATAAAAGGCCAGGTAGCAACGGCTGTGGTCGATGTTGCAACCGTTGCTAGCAGTTTTGCTGCTCTCGCCAGCCCCCTTCTCCGACTCTTCTAATTTGTGCTTGGGAGACAGACACTGCGCTTCATAGCAGGGCCATGGTAACAGCGGTACATGATGCCGTGCTGCAGCATCGCCACCGCCATCACCATCATCATCCATCCGTCATATTCATCATAACCACCATTATCAAATCACCCTCATCCTCAAACTCCGAATCTTTGCTCCACAGCTACAGTCCTTCTTTCAACTCGCTCTGCTCTTGAAGAGCAGCCCTTCCGAAGAGGCCTTCTCCAAGAATCATCTCGGGAGCCTCAGCCACGAAAGGCCGGCTTCTTCTGTTTGTGCGTGGCAAAACCCCGCAGAGGACGCTTGTGACTTAGGCCACGCACTCTTCTCCGAATCCCCCTATGAGTTTCTGTTGAAGCCCGGGTCGCCAAGTAGTCGGGCGTTCCGCAGAAAGTTGCCCTCGTCTCAGGGCAGATGAACAAACGACGGGCTACGTCTAATTCTGAGCTGCCTGAACCTGATGTGCAGGAAATTCGGATATGTAGCGTCAAATTATTCCTCTGCTCAGGCCCAGCTAGGTCTACACACAAGTGTAGGCGGACATATGCTCACATCTTGCTGCGCTCAGGATCTCTGGTGCATGATGTCTGCTAGGCATAACCAGCCAGAAAGTCTGGTGAGATCACGGACTTAGGGTTTCAAAGGTCCTGGCGGCTTTACAGTTTTCGGGATTCGCCTAGATGGCATCAAGGGCTATATATGTCGGATCCCAGGGCCAGAATGCCTACGACAAAATCTCAGACACATTCCTAAATTTGGATGTCTATTGACCACCTCCGCCAGCTGCTTCAGTTATAATTAGTCTCGACCCAACTCTGACTCTAACTCAAACATGGATGGCCGCGACAACGAATTCGTCCACACTCTTATCGACAACCTCTCCAGCTTCGCCTGTAGGATACATTCTCCATGACATTAGACCAGCCGAAGTCCGCCAGCTTCGCGTGCATGCCCTGCACACGGCCAAGGCTAGGAAGTTGCAGGCAAAGCAGTCAATGTACGGAGTTTCATGGGTGCTTATAATAAGCATCCTACTATTTAGGGTGCTGTATTCGGACCCCCTGTTTTCTGAAACCGGTCATCCTCTCGGCCTATGCTGGCTTGGAACACGGTCGTCCGTCCATTCTCCAAGCTGCGCGCCTTGTCGAGGAGAATGTTCTCGGGCTTGATATCCCTGGCCCAGCGTAGGACTGCAACACGGCTTCGGGGTTTGCGTTTTCTACAAAGCCAGATGAATTAGGTATAGCAGGTACTTCTTGCCTGCCTTCCTTGATTGATTCTGCAGGCACTCTGTTTAGAAAGGGCTCGTGGCAATGATCCCGATGCATGGATGTCAGAACCATGCAGAGCACTTACGCTGTAACTGTAACTTCTGAGTCTGCTGAGCGAGCCCGAATACGCACCAGCAAACGAGGGAACGATGCCTGACCCGGGCCCAAACTTCGGATACCAATATTTGAAAGCCGGAATTCCCATGGCAAGACTCGGTACTCCCGACTTCAACCCCGGAAGCCCTAAACACTGAGACGAGGGGGCCGGTGGATGATCTTCGGATCACGGTTGTGGAGGTAGTGCAGTGCGTCACACACCTCCGAGCATTCTGTTGCAGCCACGTGGGTGGCCTTCGCACTTGTAGGTACGGAACTCAAAATCAAAACTATTCAAGCCTAGAGGAAAACCTATCTGATGGGGGACTTTCACATGTGAGGGGTGTACGGCCCGACACCGACGGAGGAGTTGCTGCCTTCAGACAGATGCGGTTCAGGAGTGCTCCTCTTCTCCGCAAAACATGTAAAGTCTTTCAAAGCATGCCGAAGCTACACACCACCCACTCGCCCTCCAACACAACACTACACCACAACTGCGCTGCATGATCTCACCACGTGCGAAGGCCTCTGTCATGCCCCTGACTTTCGACTTTGCGACAGAAAGTTGGCCTCATAGAAGTGCTGTGCAGCCAGGTCTAAGGTGAATTTGCCGACCTGGTTCGCACAAGAGTCTGCGAACTGCGGGATGCACAAAGGTCCACATCGTCTGCTGCATTCTATGCAAGTCTCAAGCATCCATCAGATTTTCGAAGGACTGAAGGACTGGTTTCAAATGGCAATGCAGGCCGACCTTGCTGAGGAGGTCGAACATGCCGCCGCCTTCCGCAAACTCCTTGGAAACCAACTTCTATGCAGAACTGTTGTAGCTATCTATGACTATATAGTAAGACAAACCGCGAATGGCACAATTGCCAAGTTCTGGGAGATGAATTGTCGACTGGTTGAAAACTAGCAGGCTAGAAGGCCAAAACCCGCCCCATGTTTCCATTCGGCAGCATCCGGTACCTTCATACAGCTTAAGTCCTTGCGGCTCAAAGGCAGAATTGGGGCATGCCGTCTCGGGCCTGGGCACTGCAACACTAATAAACTCAACCCTAAGCCCTAAGCCCTTAACCTGTAGGAGCTAGCCCCTGGCACCGTTGCCCTCACGTTGCCACGCGTAAGAATTGTAAGACCTGCTCACAAAGCTTGGAGGCCATCCCGAGGAAGATGTGGCTGTCGTCTTCAAAGCCTGAGTCGCAAGAGAGCTTGCAGGGTTCGGGGCCTCAGGCTTGGACTCGACGCAGCATTTTGGCTTGTGTCTGCTAGCTGCATGCAATGGTCCACAGTAGTTCTCCTGCCATAACGTATGCATTTTGTCGTGGATGTGGTGGATTTTCCAGACTTCTCACCCCAAAAAAGGGTCTAGGTCCGTGAGCACGTTCGGCATCGTTTTGGAAACCAGGTCATGGCCGATGGCAGTGAGAAGTCTGCCCGCTTCGCATCCCGGTCTCCTACATATCCTGTCTTCTCCGAGGCGCTGAAATGCAGTTCCACAATGTTCTGGTGTCTCAGGCTGCGCATGATGGTTATCCTCGGCGGCTGCATGAAATCTTCCCTGCAGTCGAATATCACGCTTTGGCACTCGCACACACACACATACATTTACGTATCTTTAGTTATAACCATATACATACATACTCATACATACATGTATACACATGCATAGAGGCAGGCAGGCACACACACACAACTACTGGCACATGAAGCAGATTGTAAAGAAGTGAAAACACAATAAACCGAGAAATTCTCCTGGATCAGCTAAGCCACTCTCTTTGCATCTGCTCGGTGAGACTATGCTGCCTTCGAGGCTTGCAGGCGCTTTGCCTAGAGATGCCTGTCATAGCCTGCTGCTGCCTGCTGAGAAAAGGGTTCGATTCCAGATGCAGTGCTCAATGGTTTTGTAAGGGGAAGATGCCGCCGGCTGCATGGTCAAGCGTCGGAGAGCATCAACTAAACCGGGCTGTGTGTTCAGGCAGGCCCGCAATCAATAGCTGCGTAGCCAGTAACCCATGTCCAAAGACTAAGCTGGCTTGGTGGCGACCTATGCAGCCTTTGACACCGCTTCCGGTCTCATTCCACGTCTAAGGCCCTAGCACCGTCAGCTCGCTGTTCATTGTCAGTAGATGCTTCAGCTCTTCAACTCATTATGTCAATATCATCATCGTCTTCATCATTCGTCGTCATGTCACTATGATGCGCCACTGTGCCCACAATGTGCCACACGTTTTGCCGGACGTCTTGGGCCCCCGGTGGCTGCAAGTTGCAACTGCTGGTGAAGCCAAGCCCAAGCACACGCAGAGTTTAGGGTGTAGGGTAGCTTCAGATCCAGGATCGGAAACATGCCAAGCTCGTTTGCCGGCTTCTGCTGTAGCTAGTGCTGCCAGGGGGCTGAACCAGCGATTTGGGGATCTTCTTGACCTTGGCTCTCTGCCAGGCGAGGAAAAGTTGCAAGTCTCCAGCTACTTTTGTACTGCCACAGTAACCAAGGAAAGAAACGGCTAAACTGTCAGAAGAATACGGAACCGTGAAAACCGGAGAACGTTAAATTCTCGGCATGGATGGGACTAGCCACGCGAGCCTTCGAATCCCAAGCATGCAAGTACCAGCAACCCTGCATTGCCAAGCGACGGCCCAAATTAGCGGAGAGGGTGCCTTGCCAGGACGAGTGCAGCGCCTCGTCTCGTGCTGCTACAGGAGAAGAGCTCGGAAGGTTAAAAGCACTGTGGAAAGAGCATGAGAACATTATGTACAGGGCCTCTAGGCCCAGGCTGATGCAAGCAGCGGTGTGGAGTGTCTGGATTTGCTGTACATGCACGCGTCGAAAGAACTGACAAAGTGCCCGTCGTCGGCTTTTCTGACAAACATGTGGGCATACACGCACATCAGTTGGCCAGAAGAGGCGGATAGTCACTGGTTGATTCCGTCGCCCAGTGGCCGCGACGAGATATGCTTAGTTCCTAACATCATCCTAGAGTCCTGAGCTAAAGCAAAGCCCAGTGTGTGGCTATTTGTTTCTGACTGTTTCCACTTGCTGCTGCTGTGACTCTGCCAATGCCAATTCCACTGCTATTGTTACTACGACGACTACTACGACGGGGGCGGCGACGACAGCTACAACTAGTTCTGCTGTTGTTGTCGTTGCGAAATCGCAGAACATCTCCGACCGACCCTTGCATGCTGCAAGTGGTACTCTCATGTGCTGGCGACGGCCCCGAGAAAGTTCCACGCGGGCGGCTAGAAGACGCAAGCGTATCAAGCGGACCGGGGCCAAACGGCGGCCACGCTAAGTGATGCTAAAACAAAGAGCATGCAGTCTAAAGGTCCGAACCCAATAAGCTTGGGCTTCCGACTGGTTTCTGAAAGTTTCTGACTACATGGTAGAAGACGAGCGCAGCCCAAATTAGGCCTGTCTACAAGTCGAAGCTTGCGTTCCGGAGAAACCATCCGCACAGGCGCACCCACACACACACACACACAAAACCCCTGCACACGTGCTTGAAGCCAGCACGGTTCAGTGAGATGGAGAGACAAGCAAGCGGAAGGTTTCGTTTTTCCCATGTGGTCAGGGCACGATATTCGACAAGTTGCTCGTGTAAAGAAACAGTTTGCCCTTGCTGCCTTTGCATCTTCCTTCTCTCCCCTCGCTCGCACATCTGGGCCCAGCACCACACCTCTCCGAAGTAACCCCGGCCCAAGGGCTTCTTGTCCCAGTCCATGTCCTTGTCATGGTTGAGGGGCGGCGGCTGCTACTGTATCGTCCAATATTAGTAACATAAGTAGTCTCCTTAGTATCACTCACAACATCATGACTCATATCATTGCTTGTCATATTGCGATGCTGTTTCTCAGTATTATGATTTGCCGTCGTTGTTGCTGTTGTTGCTGCGATTGCTGTTGCAGCAGTTGTTGCTGCAATTGTTGTTGTTGTTGTTGGTGGTGGTGGTGGTGGTGTGGGTGGGTGTTGGTGTTGGTGTTGGGGGTTGGGGGTTGTTGTTGTTGCTGTGATTTTAACGATCACGATTGTCATTTACGATTGGTGATCAGCAGTGTTTAGGGTTTCTGATGTATTGATAGTACTGGAAACTGATATTACCATAACTATTATTATGATTATTAATATTCATACCGTTAGCAAGCGGCAGCAGCAGCAGCAGTAGTCGTAGTCGTCGTCGTAGTAGTAGCAGAAAGCGTAGTCGTAGTCGTAGTCTTAAATAGTAGTCGTAATAGTACGTTTTGTACTCGTCCTCGTTGTACATCTAACTAGAATGAATAGTCTATGTTGGCGGCTTTCGGTGATTCTGATAGTGCTACTCTTTACCATTGGACTCACTGCTTACTATGTCTGTATGCACGCATGCTTACACGTGTATAATTGCTGCTGCCTGTCTAGCGAAGCGATGAGAACGGAAAGGCTAGGCTCCGTCTTGCACTTCGGCCAGGGCATGCCATCTGCAGCTGTTGATTGCGCGGCGCCAGCCATGGTAAGACACGCAACCAGAATTGCAAAGAACTGGGGGCCACAGGGATTACCTGGTTATTCAGTCGTGCTTGCAAGGGTGTATCAGGGGTTGAAGTCAAAGCCAGGTTGTAGGCATGTCTGAAACAGAAATCACTTCCATCAGGATCTCTGTTTCGGAAGCAGCATGGCAATGAGAAAGTCTTGTGAGCTTGGTCGGGGGCATGCGGTCGAAAGCTGCGGGCTATTGCACCGAAGGGAAAGGGGCGACTTTTGTCTGAGCTGGGGCCCTTCTTGAGCCTGAAACTTCATGAGATCAAGGCAGCGCCTTACAATGCCTGCAGCTCAAAGCGCCGCGAATCCGGCAGCCATACCCCACCATGACATGGAAACCGGCACTCCTTCTTTGCACCTGACCCGAGCAGCCAGACCTGGGCCTGAAAAACCAGCTTCACCCTTTGTAGGAACCAGCTCGTCCTGATGCCAGGTACCTTATTCTTGGGTCCTTAAAGGCGCAGCCTGCTTCCGAGCGACGCCAGCACAGTTCGCTCGAAACACGAACGTCACGAATAGTGGCGACTAGCGTTTCTCAAGTTTTGTTGCTGCTTCCATTGCTCCAGTCACAAGGCCCGACATGAATCCGGCAGTCGCTTAGCGAAGCGGACTCTGGCTTGCACAACACTTCCCAGGCTTTGACTTGCAGGCAAGGAGAATCAGTTCCCGAATGGAGCATGTTACATGCTTCTGCGACTAGCTATCCTAGTTGATCAGGCCAAGGCCTTGCAATTATGCAGTGAATAACAAACAGGTTTCGACCTTACATAATGGCCTGGCTCTTGCCGGAGTCCTTGACAGGGGTGCTCCCAGGCGTGCAAGTCTGAATATGAGGATAAGTTGGACAGGTGCTGGGAGGAATCTTGGAGGATCCAGCTGTTGCTTGCAGGAGTAACATTAAGGCATCAGGGTCACGAGGGAAGCAACTCTGAGGATCTATGTAGATCAGGGCATGGGCATGGACTCTTCCAGACATCCCAGCATGAAGAGGATCATCGACCCTACATGGAACTCAAGCTTCGATGAGACGATGTGCAGCTGTGGAGTGCTTTGGCCACTGGCATGCTTTGGCCATCCTGCACAATCGTCTCGGGATTTGTGTGTAGCCTACTGCCGTCTTCTGCAAAGCTTCGTGGCTGAGAGTGGTCGTCCATGCCGTGCTAGTGAACAGTCCACGAGGCTTTCTGAGGCCAGGCACAACATGTCTATACATGCTCCCCCTGCCGAGCACTCCGCGAAGAACTGCGCGTCAGAGGATGCAAAGACGGTGGAAGATCAATAACATAATAACATGCGTTTATCGGTCGGGCTATGTCGATCGAGCCTAGCTCCTCTGCCTCGTTTACGAGTGCCTGCCCACATGCTGCATACTGAATTCTCTAGTGACTGCAGTGCAGTCTGAGGCCCACTCGCACCCCATCGCATGGACTGGTAATAGGAACTGCCTTAGGTTTCCAAGGCCCCAACCTTTTCTGGAAGGGTACAGGAACAGGCCGTTTGTCGATCTACTCCGTCTTCGGGGTCGTATGCGAGGTTTAGAAAAGCTTCGGAGCTGCAGATCCTAGTTGCCATGTACTGCTGGCAGTGCCTAAATTATCGACCGTTTCTTCCACATTCTCTGCCGACGGCAGTTGCAGAGCTATCAAACGATTGAGCTGAAGCAAGAGAGCCAGAGCAGGAAACAATAATGTGCAGAGGCTGTATGGTACCGTTGAAATGGCCATCCATGACCCATGTCTCTTACCCTACTGAGGTGCCTCATTGGATTCCTTGTGCTTCCCCAGCACCCGGTCCAGCACCTGACATCTTCGCGCGGGTTGCAAAGCAAAGACTACTGTCAGGCGAATTGCGTAGCCCAGCACGTCTACACACAACTAACAATTAACAAGTCCCCAGTAGAAAAAAAACCATAATTAATGGCATGGCAATCACGGGACACGTTTCGAAGCGAGCAGAGTTCGTGCCGCGTCAGAAAAACAACGGCGGTGTCGAAACAAAACTTCGCATCCACAGCCCCAGTCCGCCTCTTCGTTGTGCTCCTCCACCCGAAGCTGCGCCACTGTCTTATCGCCGAAGAAACCCTCCATGGCTCGCTTCAATGCCATCATTGCCTCAGCAGCAGACATACCCGCGAAATCACGGCAATAAGACCCCAAGTCATGGTTTGGCGGTGAGAACGGAAATGTTAGAGCAGGCTCGATGCGAGAGAAAACTGAATCCAAGCAGGTATTCAAGACTCGAAGCGACAATCTGCAGAAGAAAACCCGCTCGAAACACTCATGGAAATGAAAAGCGTGGGGTCTACAACGAACTGGCGTCTGCACACGCTCCGCTTGTCCTTTCGATGCAGGCATGCCAACTCGAATTCCTGCAGCTACGGACTGCAGCAAAGACTCACAGAAATGGCACTGACGAGTTGTGTGGGAGGATGCCCTTGGTACATATGCCCAATTGCTAAAAACCGCCCGGGTGCTTATCGACCCGCCTATAGACACTCTGCAGACAACGGTGCTTTCTCACTGAGGATGAAGGCGATGAGCTTGTATTTGAAAGAGAGGTCCTCAAAGTTGAACACGAAGAATACCTTCGAACAGGAATCTCGGCAGCAACAGGACCTGCTGCGCAGTTCGGACTCCTTCCACACCCTACGGCAACTAACATGTTAAGATTCTCCTTACGGTTGAACACGCGATGTGGGTCCACCATGATATTCGAGCCGGGGTGCGATGTAGCAGGTGACTGTGACGCCGATATAGGCAATGAACGTCAAGATGTGGCTCCAGGACCCGATGCCCTCCTCCACCCTGGGAATCACCTTGGGTTTCGGCGTTGCAGGGTTTTGGCTGTTTAGGGTTTGTAGGAGGCAAGCGACAGCTAAAAAAGCACAGAAGCAGGAATTGCCCATCTGATCCGCATGTCGAAAGGGCTAGCAGCGACAGCTGCTCTCTCTCGCTCTGCCTCCTGCCCGCAGTCTACGCTTCCTGCATTTCCTCCTGTCTTCCTTCCTTGATTCGAGCAGGGTTCCACGTTCGCAGCGGTCACAATCGCAGCTTCTTGGCATGTGTGGGCGATCCGTCATCGGCACGCTAGCAACCGACTGGTGGTGTACTGCGGATGGCGACTACACTGCATTGCCCTGTTCTAGGCCAGGCGCTGTGAACTTCACAGATGGTGCTTTCCTGTTCCACCCGTCTGCTGGTAGCCCACTACTGAGTCACTACTGGACGGGTTCCCAGCGGCTTGAACTCTGGAGATAAAGGTTTTCTGAAGGCCGGCGACTCTCTTAAGTGTTGCAACTACACACGCAAAAACTGTTTGTAGCTTGGGGTTTGAGGGTCGAAGTTTTAGCGGGGTGGGGGGGGGGTCTTAGCTGGGTCCAAGTTGCTAGACAGGAAGCTAGCTAGGTGCTCTTCTTGCCTGAATGGTGTCTTTTAAACATGTCGCTAGTCCTGGAATGTCTTGAATCTTCAACGCGCTTGTTTCAACCGGGCCGGATCAATTAAAGAACGAAGGGAGTGGAGCACGTGAGTGTGAGCTCCGTGCATAGTAAAGCACGAGCGTAGATAAGTGTGCCGGCATCCGTGCACGAACTTCTTCCCTGCAGGAAGGAGATGAAGGAAAGTTGAGACCTGTGCACTGTACCAGTACAACACCGATTCTCTTGATGGGTTCATTATTGTAATAAGCACTGGGACCCAATGTCTCGCCCACAAAGAGCATGTCTAAGTACGTGCCGTTAGTACACGACCCACAACCCATCCCAAACAGCAAAACTGCCCGAAAGTGGCTGCTCTCATCATCGAAACGATGAGGAGCGGAAATCAATAAACGAAGACATGAACAAATACACGCATGCCACACACACACACAGACACATATATATATATATATATATCTGTGTCTCTCTCTGTGTACAAGTTAGCTAGTTTGTCGGTCAGTCAGTTAGTTGGGTGGCTAGCTAGCTAGATTTTTTTTTGTCTGTGTGTGTGTGTGTGTCCGTGACAGCATTGGGCAGCGGCAAGAGCGGGCACGGGGCATGTAAAGCAACACAGGTCTCCCCTCGGGACCGGGCAAGTCAGTTTCCGACGCTGTCCCAGAACGTGTGCAAGGCTCGACACAGACATACAGAACAAAAACATGCAGCCAGGCCAACTCTAAACCCTAAACGGCAACGCCTTCATATCCTTCAACCTGCAAGCCCTAAAACATATACCCACATGCCCGAGACCGTAACAGTTGCAAGGCTATTGCTCGTTAGGGGCTCTTTGGTGCGCATAGCAGATCTTGTAGGCCATGAGCTTCTTGATCACGAAGTTGGATAGGAAGCAGAGGATGCAAATTACAGGACACGTCACACCGAACCTGCGCTGCGAAGCTGTGACGTAAGTACTCTTCGATTCATGGTGTATTTGACTTGTAGCTGAGCTTCGGTGAAAAGGCTATGCTGGACACGACAAACGTGGACCCTTTGAGTTCCTGAAGCTTTGCAAACATAACGGGGCAACGTCTTTAATTCAAAGACCCTCCATAATGCACTTTTCCGGGGCTTATTGTGGATCTGGCAGTTATGGTGGCCGCCGTGTATGATTTGAAAAAGAATCGCCCGGGGATATTGCTTCTGCATTTTCCTTGCTAATGGCCAATCTTATCTGAGTAGGGGATTACAAGAGGCCGGGGAAAACTCACTCCAGCAGGCCTCGGGCTTGGTCGGTTGTGTGGAGGAGTGCAGGATAAAGGAACAAGTCTTCAGAATGAAGGGTCGTTAGTCTTGACAGCTACCTTGAAATCAGCGGGGCTTGGCTTCGAGGCTTTGGGGCCTTCATCCTCAAACTGCAACACACAGACTTGCACAGCTCTGCGCATGCTGAAGCTGCACATGCAGGCTTCTCAGGACTGGTTTTGGTGTTGGACCTGCTTCATGAGTTCTCGCTGAGAGAAGGCCTTCAGGCACCTGTTCCCTTGCATCAAGATTCTAGATGTACAGACTGCTGTGAAAGACGTGGCTGCAGCAGCAATGTGCAACACAACTGCGATCGTGTCGGCATGGGCTTTCCCAGGCCGGCGGCATTGCAATGAAGCCAAAGCTGAGGGCCAATTGCATGTAGTCCTCAATTTGGTCCTGACAAAGACATCAACACACCGTCACTTTGCAGAAGGCGTAGGTAGCTATCCTAAAGCACGCGCTGAATCTGCGACAAGGATCCGCTTCGCCATATTCTGGCATCATTTCCTGCGAGACAGTCCCACTTTCTGCTTAGGTTCCCACGCGCAGCAAGCATCAATGCAATACATCCAAAGTCGATCTCCGGTTTGAATTCGACATGCATCTTCGCAAAAAAAAAGCTATTAAAATGACTTGCTCCAAGCACCACTCGAAGGGGCTAGTAACTAGTAGCTATGCTTGTGGGAATTCTCAGGGCACGGATGCCTCATGGACTAGGGGCTGATGGGGTTGGGACTTCAGGTTTAGGTGTGATGGTGATCTCAAACCCGAGATTCGGACTAAGGCTTGCATTGCAAGAGAGCAGCTCCTCACCTATTGCAACTCGATTCTCTCAGTGGCGGCTTGCGCCTTCTAAACTACAGAAACCGTGCTTTGCTAACCTCTGCATTACAGCGTCGTGCTGGACCGTCTTCGGTGCTCGCTGCTCGCTCATGCAGACGGCACTCCTGCAGCTCCAAGTAGGTCAGGTTTCTGTTCTGTCCTTGGATGCAATGCTATGCTCGAACTCACAAAGTGCAAGCATTGAGTGAACGAGCCTTCGGGCGATGGTGAGATTGGCATGGCGAAATGCCGAACAGCAAGATCACAACAATCATACACTAATACAAGGTAACATCAACCCGCGGTGGGGACAAAGCATCACCTGCAAAAGAGTGCCTCTTCACCGTGTTCGAGTCCCAGCCATAAGGCAACAAAAGTACACACACAACCCAGGAGCCCAGGAATCAAGGCGGCCCCCCCCCCCCTGGTTGCAGCTTTCGGTCGACGGTTCTTCAACTCGGATCGGACTGTCCAGTAGGTCATCAGAACCGAGATGACAACTTCCAAGGCTTTGAAGGCTGCCTGGCAAAGGATGTGCGCTCAGAAGCCTGGGACTCCTTGCCCATTCCATGCTATTGGGGCAGTGCAGTCTCCCAATCCTAGAAACCATACGGCCCATGTTCTTTGCATCCAAAGTGTGTTTCATCCAAAGTCTGACTGAGCGAAAGCAGCCTGCCCATGCTGCTGCACAGAGTCAGGATGCTGGTGTCTCTGCTGAGAGCAAAGTACTGTGTGTCGGCAGACAGCCCTAACCTCCTCCCCCGGCGATGCACGTGATGGCAACACCCCGAACCCCTCTTTTTCACGAGAGGCTCGAATGCTGAACACCTTGAACCCTGCAGCTTGAGACCATAGCTGACCAGCCTTTAGTAACAAAGGTCGAACGGCTATGCCTGCAGTTGACTTCTGCGCACAAGCCGCTTGCCCCAGTTGCTACGGTACCGAACCCTGCCAAGTAGATCCACCCACAAGCCAGCCCAGGATTCAAGGCCCTCTAGCCGTAACTTATTAACGAAAGTTTCAGATTTGGGGCGGACCTGCTCCCAACCACAAGAAAGCCGACACAGCACCTGCGTCAGGAAAAGCACTTGCAGATCCTGGCGGAGCTTCAGGAGGCAGCCTGCAGTGCCGGCTTCTCTCTGAGAGCAGACTCGCAACTCGGACTTGGTCAGATGAGGTCTTGCGGCCTAGTCTGACCAGCAACGGTTCGCTGGGCTTTGGAGTCTTACGTTGCCGTCACCGAATGATAGGAAGGGTGGTCAGTCTGCCATCGAACTGTTTTACGTGGGAATTTAGGGTTTAGAAAGGGTTTTGAGGTTTCGGATGGCCTCTGAGCCAATCCATTCCCGGATCACAATGATCTGAGGATCCTGCAGCCCGAAGACCCTTAACTGATCTCTCTCTGGCCTCGGAAGTTTCCGGGATCTTCGTTATCACAGCCCTCCACGTAGGGCTGGATGAGTATGGTGTAGGCGAAGGGGTAGTAGTACACCATGAACCTCGAGCGCTGGAGGCAAGGCTTTGAGGACTCTTACAGGACGATGCCGCGCGTTGCGGCAGACACTACGTCGCCGGTGAAAGCAGCCAGGATTTGCCAGGACCCCGACACGACAATATTCTCTGCAAGCTTATTCCGAACAATACAGCACCAAGGTGTCGATAAATTAAGTTCAGTTGTGGCCCCTGGTCTCACTCCAGAAGATTTCAAGCTTGAGGCTCTTGGATCATTTCTCGGGTCTGATCCGTTGCCCTGGACCCGCAGACGCCGAAATCAGAGGCAACTGTCTTGGCAAGGCTAAGGGGTATCCTTCCGGCACGTCGTCGGTTCTGGCTTATCCAAGATTAATCGGAGTTCTGTCGCAACCCTGTCCTTCCGAGAATTTCAGCTTCAGGCCGCCTTCGTTAAATCGCCAGACTTGCACAAGAGCTGTGCTGTTTCCCACTCGAAGCCTAAAAACCCCCGGTCAAACTCTCATGATGGAGAGGATTGAGAAGTCCGTAATCTTCAGCCAGAAACTTCACGGCATAAAGCTTCACAACCATGGCAGACTTCATCTCGACATCCGTCCGGAAGTTCTCCTTCCTACCTCAAAGTGTCGGCACAGCGAAAATTCCGAAATTCCTTACCCCATAGGGTTTGGTCTGTTTTTGCTTGGCCAGGGTGCAAGCAGGTGCAGGCTTCAGGCTCGAACATTATGTTGAGTTTAGGCAGCCTGGTTTGACCTGGCTTGAACAGCCCCTCTCCAACAAAAGCCTGAAGTCATAGTGTGCAGTTGCTATTTATGCGAGTGCGTGTGTTGAGTCTGCGCACTGTCTTCCGCCAACGAGCCAAGCATCGAAGCATGTCATCGACCTTCTGGGGCCCGTTCCACGGAAAATATCAGTCCGAAACCCGAGAGGCTGTCTCTGCACGCTAAACCCTTCACTACAGCAAGGCCATCTCAAGCCGTGGTACAAGTACCACATGTTCATTGTGACAAGATGCTAAGCCAAGTGGACAACGGAGTCCATACCATGTCCACTACCTTGATGTTGGCCGTGATAACCTTCGCAGCAAAGCAGTCATGCTTTCGAGGACAGGCCATTGCATAGCACTTGAAGCAGAAAGGCAGATGTAGCAAGCATCGCATGCGGAGTGGGGGAGGATTCAGAAACTCCAAGCAATCGGCCAGGCACTGCGCTCCCTTCCAAACTACCCCTTCTGTTTTTGGTTGTGGAAACTTGGTCCAAGAAACATATTTGTACAGATCAAGCAGTGTCTCGTTGTCGATTCCGAAGGTAGTCCCGTCCAAGTCGTCGCGCACGTCCTTCCGCAACTCGGTGAGGTAGTACACGACGGAGATCGTCTCCAAGATGAACAGGGCGCACAGGAACCAGTGAAAGAGGTTCTGCAGAGTTTCCAGAGCGGTCCTGGAATCAGAAAATGCAGAAGTGCTTCAAATCTCATCCTTCGGATGTCATATCAAACAAGCCAGTAAAACCGCCATGCAGCAGCTCAAGTGCTAGAGTGATCTTCTGCTGTAAACTATCGGATGGCATGAAATCCACGACTCAATTAGGAGGGTCTGCCCTTTGAATCCAGCCACGACATGTGTGAGGACTTGACACGGAAAGTTCTAGGCGAGAGAATTGATGTAGGAGTCTTCTCAGGGGAATCCTAAAATGTCAGAGTGAATGAAGAGGATGACACTCAGCTTTGCAAGTCGTCGGAGACTGCAACAATTTCAAGCAGTCCCTCGGTACTCGTCGCTGAAGGCCTTTCTGACCTCGCTGCATCGGTAGCAAAGTTGCTTCAAAAAGCCGTGGCTGAAGGCCAGCCAAAGCTTGTTCGAGTGACTTGGTGATACCGCCCGGTGATTTTCCAGCGTGTTTCAATAGAGGATGCATCGAACCGAGCTTAGGCGCTGGTGCCTTGTTCAACTCGTCGCTTCCACTTGTATCCAAGAAGCAAAGCAAATCATGTCTCTCAGCATTGGATTCAGACTTTTCCTTACTGCCGAGCAACGGGTACAACCTCGTCGTGTACATGTCTCATTCCCCACCGGAAGATCTTGAGGTTCAGCAGCTGCTCATACCGAGCCTTACGGCACGGAGGTTCGTCTTCTGCTCGGACATCTCGGACCCTTGTGGTTCGTCTCGCTGTGTTTGCTTCTGCTTTGTGGTTGCGCGCGGCACCTCATAGCTTCTACTCGCACGACAAGACTGCGTGATGCCCGCATCATATGAGCCGACTGCAAGGTTCCTTCAGAGGAACCCGTGGATGATGCTCCAGGGCGCAAGCCGAAGCTTAAACAAGCAGATCCTAGTGACTCCTAGCCGCCCTAGCCCCAAGCCAGTCGCTATACAAACAAGACAAAGCAATAATTTGGTCTGCGGGCAGGGCAGCACGCTAAATTAACTCGGTCTGCAGACTCTCGGCAGCCTCAACAAAGCATGAATAGGTAGGTCGAAAGATCCGTGCTTGCCGCCGAGTCACAAGGAAGCAAGTCGTCCAAATACACAGAATCCCGCCGAAGATGGAATCCATGAGAGTGATCTGTCAGGTTGAACACGGAGCTGCAGGCAAAAGGGTCCCGGCATGTCACGTCTTGTTGTTGCGGTGCAGCACGAAACGTTTCAGGTTGATAGAGCACACCTCGGCTTGAGGTTTCTAGCCTTTGACTCAGAGAAGCCTTGCATCTCTAGAGGATGAGATCTTCAGCAAAAAGGCCCGGCTCGGGTCTTTCCGAGCGGATTCGACCCCTTGCGCCTGTGGACGATCAAGCCTCCCAGTCTGTCTCATCACGTAGACGAAGATGCTCAGAATAGCCGGGATTAGAACCCACCTTTCACAGGGATGTGTTCTACCCTGGCACACAAGATCCCCCGAGGCCCGAGGTGTCACATATACTTTGCCGACATGTCTTCTTGCCTGGTGAAGGTGTTGAAAAGGTGGAAGAAGTAGGCGACCTCTCGAGGCTGGAGAAACCCCCCCAAGCGGCTCCAAATTCAAAGTCGTTGCACAAGGCCTTTGGCTCCGGTGGGGTGGGCAGGTAGACTCTGTAGTCTAGAGATCTTACCACCACCTGGAGTCAAAGCACCAGCTGTGTAAGGCTGGAGATTGGAAGTACGAGGCAACACTGTACTGCCACCTTTCGCAACTGCTGCATGACTGCTGCATGCATGAAGTGTGCTGCGCGGAGATCCCGAACGCCTGGACCCCGGTGTACTGGAAGATGTAGTCTGTGATGCCTTCTCTAGGCCATCGGAACCTTGGAAATGGCTCAAATTCAAGGCAGCCTTGTCCGGACGTGCTTGGAAGCACTTGCAAGCTGAACCGCTGGCTAGCCCTTCCACGACGGGGCACATCGTGGCAGGGTTATTCCAGCCTCGTTGATAAAGTACATCAAGATCCTGACGGTCGTCGTGTGTATTCATGCAATACCCTAAGCCTGATGCGCTTAAACCTCAGAAGGTCTAAACCCTAAACTTCCTAAACCAGACGACTGTAATATCCGTAATTTCCTGAAGCATCAATCGGAGCCGAGCCCTCGAAGGAAATTCTTGCGTGAGTCCGTAGACCTCTTACGTGTCAGGCAACGGAATGCCGTTTTTTGGATTGTAAAAACAGCTCGTGCTAAGAACAGGTCGCTTTGCAGGTTTCGGTCCGGCCACCTGCCTTCCAGCTGTGCACCGCAAAGAACTTGCTCATCACTTCGGCCTTGGAGGACTGCATGTCAAGGCCCCCATGCGAAAGCGCGAGTAAACACGCCCATGCGCACACAATAATGATTGAACATGTACGCACGTCACATACATGTGTGTGTGTCAGTGCAAACATAACACCACCGCCAACAACAGCAACAACCCCACCACCATCAACACCAACGGCAATGGCAACGACACCACCATCACCACCACCACCACCACCACCAACAACAACAACAACACCAACAACAACAACAACAACAACAACAACCACAACCGCAACCACAACCACAACCCCGGCAACGGCAACGGCAACGTCAACAACAACAACAACAAGGACAAAGAAAATCATAAGAACAACAACAAGAACAAGAACATTAACAATAACAAACCAAGAACAAGAACAATGACAAGAACAATAACAAGAACAATAACAAGAACACCAAGAACAACAACAACAACAGCAGCAGCAGCAGCAACAACAACAACAACAACAACACCAGCACCAGCACCAGCACCAGAACCAGCACCAGCACCAGCACCAGCACCGGCACCAGCACCGGCACCGGCACCGGCCCCAACACCACCACCGCCACCGCCGCCACCACCACCACCACCACCACCACCGCCGCAACCAACAACAACAACCACGACGACGACGACACCAACAACAACACCAACATGAACACCAACAAGAACACCAACAAGAACACCAAAAACACCAACAACACCAACCGCACCAGCAACAATCCAAAACAACAACGACGACGACGACAACAGCAACAGCAACAGCAACAGCAACAGCGACAGCGACAGCGACAGAGACAGCGACAGCGACAGCGACAGCGACAGCGACAGCGACAGCAACAGCAACAGCAACAGCAACAGCAACAGCAACAACACCAACAACGACACCACCACCACCACCGCCACCACCACCACCACCGCCACTACCACCACCACCACCACCACCACCACCACCCCCGCCACCACCACCACCACCACCACCTCCACCACCACCTCCA